CTTGTTGCATCTCTATCACGCGAAATGGAAAATCTTGCCAGCTGATACAGGTCATGTTCATCTAGATATATTTTTTCGGCCACTGTATTGTGGCATATTAAAAGTTTACTGGCGTTCTTACAGTCCTTTTAAAATGATCATATATGAAAATCCAAACATCGCCCTCTTTCTCAGTCCTGTCTCACAAGCCCACTTCGTCCTATCTCTCATTTCCTATTTGACCATGTAATGAAAAAGACATTTTGTGAACCTAGCATTGATGTTCATAGACTCAACTAGTATCCTTATTTCATAAGTGAGAGGCGGTGATTCGTATAGCCAAATGGTGGGCGTGCACAGATAGTTTTATTATGCATTATGGATAGTGTCATCTGAACCAAGCTTTTTGGCATTTCAGCAAATTTCAGCTCTGTGTATTTGACATTCTTTTCTCAAGGAACTTAAAATATTGTTATCTGCCTAGATATAATATTGTCTCACACATAAGACTATCTTGAATTATAAAAGACTTAGAAGTGGTGGAAAAGCCAGTTTCTATACAAGATTATCTCCCATACCGTATTTCCTCTAACAAATCTTACAGTTTCAGAAATGCTAGTAAGTTGTGCGATATAGCTTATAGCTCTTTGGAATCGACGGGAATTGTTTGGGTAACAAGTAATGTTTTGAATGTAGATGTCATGGATCTGCTGTGGGTACAGAAAAACCTCTGTAACTTTTCAAAAACTGTGTGAGATCGGGCAAGCTTGAAGATTAAGGGGAATAAATTGTTTAATTAGGAAAAAATATAATGGCTATCTCAGCTTAGATGGACTGTTGCTTTCAGATAGGAAATAGATATGTTGAAAGCTTTTCTTTGGGAAAGAAAAAGCAGACTTTCTATAAACACAATACACTAAACTTATCTTCAGAAAATATGTCTTCTTTTGATACAAAAAGTTGAAGGATGGGAGATTCTTTTTTACACTGCTGGCCATTAAATTTGCTATCAGTTGTACACATACAGTATAAAGGGAGCAAGACATGATTAAATTTGCAAGCAAGTCTACTTGCATAGACTCAATGATAAATTTTTCAAGAAAGGATTCCTCGCTGACGCAGGAAACTTTAGTGCCACACTGAATTACTGCATAGATCCGAAGGACTTTACCATCCGTCCATTTACTGCGCACAGATTGCGAGACCATAATTTCGTGACATGAGCTATTTCATCTCTCATGCATAATTGGCATGCGTTCTTGAAGTCATGAGCTTGCATTTGTTTATTTGTAGTATATATTGTCTGTAACATATTCCTGTATATATACTTTTTATGTATCTGTTCATACGTTACTGAGTTTTCTGACCATTTTCGTATTTCCCATTACACATTTTCATCTTAACTGCCTCCCTCACTAATTTACCTACTCCCATATGTCAGGTCTATTTGTGACTCCTTCAGGGACCATGGTCCCCTTTCCCCTTCTTTTTCTCTTTTATTGCATCCTCCCATTGTAGTAATTCATATGATTGCTTCCATGTGAAGTGCTCTCAGAGCGTTACATCAGCAGAGCTTTCGACAGCCAAGCTTTCTTGGCTAGTAAAGCATAAGCATTCAGTATTAAAGCATTAAATTTGCAAGTGGTTTGGAGCACATAACCTGCAGAATTCAGTCCACGGAGCTGCCACTTCTGGCAGCTGGCTGTCGAGTCGAACTGAACTTGGATGACAGATATGGGTATTTCATTCGGTATGGGTTCGTGCTAAAGTTCATCAATCGGAGTGGCTGGCGAGAGACCAGATACTCTCAATGGATAAGAGATTTGGAGAACTAACTTATAATGGACCAGGACAACAATCGAATACACTCTGTATCGAGGAAGGTCAGGACAACAAGAGCAACATGCAGACGGGAATTATCCTGTTGAAAGATGGGTTTGCGCAGAGCTCGAGCATAGGGCACAGCCAAAGAATATGTATTGTATTCATAGACGTTCTTTGGCACAGCCACAGGACTTAGCACGTCAGAAACGTAACGATGGCTGACCACATAACCGACTATGCTGAACAAGAACTGATCGGAATGTATACCCATTGGCACCCCATACCAGCATGCCAACTGCTGGGCCCACGCGACGATATCAAATATTCATACTCTGATACTTTTAGATTAAAAAATATAAGTTTTATAAAAATTAAAAATTTTCATTTTTTGTACATTCCCCCAGATCCTGCACTCATATTTAAGAAAATGTTATATGTATTATTAAAAAAAAATACCAAAAGTGTGACTCCGTACTACAAAAGTTGACAGAGATATTTCATTTTAAAGCTGGAAATTATAATCAGGAGCTGTACACAAGATGAAGAGCGAAATGTGTGCATTTGTACTTCACTAAAAATAAAATGTCGGTTTAGAAAGCCGTTTCTGGTGTAAACAGGCCGTTTTTATGCAAAATATTCTGAAAAGTATTAATGAATGTAATATTTTTTGAAAAGCAGATTTTGTTCGCAGAATTTTATACAACTCGTGTTCTAGAAACCTCCGGCAGGCGCATAGCCAACTTGTAATTTTATACGCCTAAACTAAAAATATTTCTAGTTTAATAAATATTTATGTATGATTATGCTTCAAAACTAACAAAACTGCATGAGAATAGTAATAACGTCTTTTTAGCATTGAAAATTTACGAATTAGTAGTGTAAAAATTTTTTGGCGTATTAATTGTAACAAATTATAAATTAAAAAATGTTATACACTTGTAAATCGCAAAAGAATATCGATGAATAGCAAGAAAAATATAACCTCGAGTTATTCTAATTTATTTATTAATGAGCCCCTCACTGAAAATTGAAAATTACGTCAAAATTCGCAAATTTCGAAATGAAATATCTTGGTCAATTTTTGTTTTACCGGAGTCAAATTCTTTGTCGTTCATTTTTTTAAAACAAGTATAAAATTTTCCTAAATATATATACAGAGCCTGGGGGGGGGCATAAAATAAAGTCAGATTTCAAATTGCTTCAGATTAAATTTTTAAATTAAAAATTGTCAGAACATAATATTTGCGTCGTTTAAAGTATTTATGTAATGCTTCTGTAACCCCCACGTTTGAGGAAACAAAGGTCAGATAAGGACTTTTGTTGATACGGTGTATTTTCACGAGACTCGTTTGCATGTGAAACTGTGCATGAAAATTGAATTTCTTGGGTGCATTAATATTTCTAAAATCTTTTTCTGTAGAAAATATCAAAATACACAGTTTTCGCTATTATATTCTTTTGTAGATTCACTCATTCAGATTCTATGCACATAACTTTCACCAAACATTTCAGATCTGAAGAATCTGAAAATTTCTATTTGCATACATCTCTGCTATCGTTTTACATATACTATTAAGTAACAAAATTATTTCTGGAGATACAGAATAGACAGAATAGTTCTGAAAAGTTCATTTTAATTGAAAAAATCGATGAAAGATTACATTAATGGCATATATATTGCTATTTGCATAATTACCTAAAACATGATTTTTTTTGGGGGGGGGGCTACCAACTTAATTTTTATGTAGCCACATTTTGCTTAGTTATACAATTATTACATTCGTGTACGAAATAATTAATAAAATCAAGCTGATTTATGAAATAATGAGTGGTTAGATTCTGACAGATGAATTCCTCGATCATAAGTGAATATTTAAAATTCTAAGTTTTCAAGGTAGTAGTTGAGAGATTACTACTAAAATTACAAATAAATAAAAAATAAGTAAATACTTGCAGTTATTTAAAAATAAATAAAGAAAAGCATTAGATTTTAGATTACCACACATTACACTTCGTACTAAAAAATACCATCCAACCATTCCTTCCTATTAAAAAATAATTCAACAACATCTACACATCTATAGAATATTTTACTCTGATTTTTCAACAATATTAATATTTCCAGAAAAAAAATGGATACCTCAATTAAGAAAGGAATGCTATTAGTGAATAATCTAATCTGAATTAAATATAGTCATCTGAAAGATGCCAAACAAAAGAAATTTGCATCAGTAACACAGAAATAAGAACATCGTCAAGTAGTAGCATCTTTTGTTCCATCTTTACTGTCGAGGAATTACCACAAACTAGTAAAAAATAACGCATAATTAATTCTCATAAATTTATATATTAAATTATAGTTCATAAAATCTTCAGTTACTTTACACATTAAAACGATATTAAATACCTTTATATACTGAAATAAAAACAAAGCCTTGAAAAGCGAATGCAGAACTGATGCTAAATACATCATTTCAAAATTGCGTGTGCATTTCAAAATGGATGCCTGCACAATAAAATGCAAGTAGATACATGCGATCACATATACGTGATCATTTTGAAAGTGAAAAAAGTGTCTAAACATACTTTAATTCTAATTAGGAAATAAATATTTACTTTTCAGTAAGCTTCTTCATGTTAATGTAATTATAAATATTGAGTTAGTGTTATAACCAAACATTTGCATAATTTTATTTTTAGCGAAGACTGGGTTTGCATTATCTGGAAATATAATACAGTTTCGAATTACACGTCCACTTGCATATTTTTTTTTCATGTAATGAAAATATAAATGATCAGATTATAAGTAAAAAATGCAAAGCGTTATGCATACGTCAAACCCAAAATTGCACGTCTATTGTTGGAATGTTAGCAACCAGATTTCATGAATTACTTTGACGTCAAGAAGGCAGACAAATCAAGAGTAGTCTTCTATGACGTACCCTCCGGCGTCACAAGGAAAGTGAACTTGCAAGTTGCTATTCGTGAAAAAACGATCTCACCCACCTTCTTTTCTACCTTCTTTTTTTTGCTTCCGATTCTGTTTACCTGAGATTCACGCCAATTAACTTACCGCCGGCTAACATACCCAATTGCAAGTTCCACTAATACGATACGTCACGCAGACGTCACGCAGATAGATGGCGCTGCTCTTTTCTAGCGCGTAAAATAAAGCATGGACGCGTTTTTCCCAATTGCAGTTTTTAAGATTCTCTTTCAATTATAAAAGCACGAAATTTCTACTTCTGAAGCATAGCTACTGAAACCTTCAAGATACTAATACGAAGTCTAATATCTCCATTCCTTTAATTTTCAATTTTTAATTTTCAGTTTCTTAATTTATTAAAAAAAGTTTGTAAGATGAAAATTACTGCAGCAAAAGGCAGAGTAATTATGTTTGCTGTCGGAATTTGTGGATGTGTTGCAACTGGTTTCGGAACTCTTCTTCTCGGATTTTTTGAACAAATCTTCCGTTTCTTCTTGAAAAAAGTAAGTGCATTTATATTGTATCTTATAAGTAAATATTTGTATTTAATGTAAAATGCATTTTATATTTAATTTAAAAGAAGAAAAAATAATTTTATAAAATTCGACTTTCTTATCGGAGTTTTGAATTGTGTATTTACTAGAAGATTTGATAGGCAATTCCTGTTATGGGGATTTCTAGAATCTTAGACAAATACATTCTGTGCGGTATTTGTTAATAGTGATAATTTTTTTTTTATTTCTAACTATATTCTGTTTATCTAAATTTATGTCATTAAGTACGACGATTCTTAAAATCATTTGACTGTTCCTCAGTTGCGGAATCCGTAAAGCAATCAAAGTTGTTATTTGATTGTATTTCTTCTGTACACTGAATTGCGTTTAGATAACTATTATTCGGTCAAAATAAAGATTCTGAAACGAATAATGTTAAAGCATAACAAACTAATCAACTAGTAAAATTAGAAGAGTTTATAATTTCTAGTAAGAGTGTAATTTATTATTTGCATATTTGTGATGAATAAACTTTTCATAATTATTCCAAGTTTTTCATCACGATCGATCTCTAAAAGAGAAGTTTTAAAATGCTAAATGCTTACTATTTAACGCTCCCACATAAACAGTTAACAGTTTCGGTTCTCAAGACTGCAGGAAAGTTATAATATTACAAAGAAATGTTTTCATTCCTAACAACGGAATGCTATCCGCAGAATGTAATAGAGGCTATGAACTTGCTCTGTGTATGCGGAAACGTTTTTCTTAAGTAAGACAGAGAAAGTTATGACAATTTTTCTTTTCTTTCTTTTTTTAAATCATTTTCCTTAGTTTTGGTCATTACTTTATTGGGTTGTCAGCATTATAAAATTAGAAATATAATTGTAAACATAGGGAAAGGTTGCAGAAGCTGTGTTTACTGTAGGTCTTTTCCTTTGCCTACTAGTTTCTCATTGATTTTTTTTTTTTTTTTTTTTTTTTTTTTTTTTGTTTACAATTTAATTTTTCCAACTGCGGTATAGATCTGAATGCGTATGGTTATATTTTATGAAACTTAATGGGATTGGAAATCTTTTAGCTACTGTAATTTATATGTTTAACTAATTTATACAATTATTTATTTATTTACTATGCTTTAGCTTCTCAATTCGCGTTCTGTTCTCTTCGATTTTAATTCTTTGATAACAAAATAATCGTATCACAACAAAATAGTTTTTTTCGTCTTTCGTTTATGATTGCTCTAAACTGATTGCTCTGTGAATGTAATAGTAACGATATAATTTGTCATTCGAACGTAAAATTTTAGTAGTAATAAAACTTTAATAACGCCTTTCAGTTAATTATACATAAAATTAAGACGGATTTAGAACAATATCCATTAGAGCTTAATATATGCTGTCACAGCGTCTTTCTGGAGGCCGCATACTATAGGTATGATGAAGTTTGATTGTTTTCAACCAGGCGAATAGTTAGTTAAACGAACGGTCAAACTGAGTAGAAAACTTGCATTCGAATAAAGGAGGGTTCGTTTTCTATACTAGAAGATAACAATAAACAGCATCAATTTGCAGTTACGAATTTATGTTATTTGTAGAAATATTTGGTACAATATGTATTGCGTCTAATAAAGCTCTAGAAATAAACTTTCAAACACCTTAAAGAAACGAAATACTGATTTTTAAAAAGCCTATGAAATTAACAGCGTAGATTATAGTAAAGCTGAGTCCCTTCATTGTTAAACGTTTTTATCAGTAGTTCTGAGCCACAGCTAAGAAATAAGTAGTAGAACATTCTGGTTCATTGGAAACACCCCTTTTTCCTTTATGATGAAAGAATAAGAGTCAATAGCCTAAGAAATCCCGTGATGTATCAAAGTTCAAATAAGCAGAATTTTCTCAAATTGGTTCAAATTTGCAGCAGCTTCTGCAGATTTCAGCTCTTCTCATCTTGGAAACATGCTTTTGAAGTTTAAACTTCTGATTGCTTTACTGTTACATGCTGAAAGAGTGAAGTGTTGCTGAGATTTTGCAGGAAAAAATTAATGGAACTTCGGAAGAGTAGTTAGATAAAAATTATTTCCCTGTGCAGCTCTCTAATTAGGACACTGCTTTCCTGACCTTGATAATGCGATTTTCATTTAGTTCAAGGAATTTTAAGATAATTTGTTAGAAAGTAATTGAAATATAACATCAAATACTCAACAATTAAGATTCTTTCAATTAAATTTGGCTCCCGATAAAACTTACACGTAGTACATGTGTTATATATGCATCATATTTATAAGAAAATTCGGTATGTGCATTATTTATTTGCAAATAAAATCTGTATTTAAATAATAGTAATGTAATTCTGCAAAACTCTGGCTTGGTTAATAGCCTTGAGCGTGTGACAGTTATATTACACGATTGGCTTTAATTATAATTTTAAATAGTAAATGACTCATTTTTGACGCAAAATATAAAGACACTTTTAACGCGTTTTGAGGGATTAGATGTTAAAATGTATTTCATCTAAACAACTTCAAAGCACACTCAGTAAACAAACTTCATCAGGTGCAAAGATTTTTACCTGCCATACCTATTTTTGGATCATGCCTGTTGTTCCATCAAGGGCGGTCGACTGGAGTAAGATACGGTTGTCTTCGGGAACTCCTCCCTATTGGTGGGGGTCAAAATTCCTCTAGGGAAGTCACCCAAGGTCAAGCTTTTATGACACTCTCCTAAGAATTTGTTTTCGAAATGCCTTTTCAGAATGTGGTTCTAGATTACACATCAAGCGAATTTTTATCAGTTTCATCTATCTAATCTTTGGCTACTTGGTATGAAAGGAGTGACCAAACAGCAAATCTAAGTCTATGACCTTCAGCTGCATTCCTGTTTTAAACACATGTATTAGGGAATCAGAAGAAAACATTTTGCAGTTTTTGCAATCTAACATAAATTTGACCACTGGTTTTTAATGCAAATTATAATCAAACATCCTAGAGTTTATATTTCAAGAAACTGAAGTTATGAAATTGCTGATTGCTAGCACACATGAATTGCTGTGTATAAATCGTTCTCTGTAAATTAATTAGTAACTGTAATTTAATTTTATAATACTATCTCTTTATTGCTGATATGTACACGATTATTTTGCATAAATTGCTATCGCTATATGTATGAGTTTTACCGAACTTTGAGCCACTCGTTACTATTTGATATATACTTTCATAATGTAATCAAATGCGGATAATAGTAATCATATGACTATTACTATGTTTCTATCACTAACAACAATTATATGTAATATCTGATTATTTTTTACTATTAAAATGCATTCAGTTAGTATTATAGGACCAAGCGCTATGATGTTTTCACATTTATCTGATTCATTCATTCACAAAACATATAATTATCCTTTTGTCTTTTCGGGAGTTCATTATTCATATCCCATTCGAGCACGTTGAATAGATGACACTATGGAGTAAACAAGCACTTAGTAGATTTTTCACGGAATAGTTTAGAGGATGTGTTTACTGCAAAACATGAAAGGCAGAAACTTTAGAATTTTCTGTTTGTGAAAAACCATTGTCTATTGTCGCTATAATAACATTCTACTTCGGTCATCTTTTTTTTTTTTTTTTTTTCCTTTCCTCTTTTTTTCTTTTTCTTTTTTTTTTTTTTTTTTTTTTTTTCAATTGTTCAAAAGGATTTTGTGCACTAAAAAGTCTCACGTAAACCTTAACTGTGTTATGAAAATTCCTTATCTTCCGGCTTTGTAGAAAATTTCCATTCTCATTATTATATGTACATTGCATCTTTTATTGCTTTCTTTTCCTTATGGGTCAATTTTTGAAAGTTGCGTCAGAACATTACTGTTTGTCTTCTGTTCCAGAAAATCGTTTCCCTTTACTAGAATTAATTTCAGTCGTAGCAGAGCAATAATTTTAAACATGTTTCAATGTTAATATCGTATGTTATAAACATGTGATAATTAATTTCATTCATGTAAGATAAGGAAAAAATCTTTCACTCCGAGTATTTTAAACGGGAGTCCACGAGATTTTGCTTGTTTCAAGTAACTTAGGAAATTTTGAAGCTGAAAAACTGATTTTTACTAATAAAAGACAAATGAATAACATATAACCTACAAAGTACTTCAAGTAAAATTTTGCTTAATGATTATAAAATTAAAAATGAATTTTATTCTTAATTTTGCCCAAATTAAGGCTTACAAAAAAAAAAAAAAAAAAAAAAGACTTTTACTGCTTATGGATTAGATGGTGAGAACATACTGACGTTTTTATTTCCTATAAAGTTATTTTCTCTCTCATCAGTTCAAACTTATATAATTCAGACTGTTCCATTCAATAGTAGTATATAGACTAAAGTATATATTCAAAATCTATCAAATGCATCAATTGTAATGTAACATGCATGTATACATTACATGCGAAGGCTGAATTTGAAGTGAAAATGTCATATATTATATTTGCGTATATATTGATTTTTTTCTTATATAGTTCAACAAAGCTTAGCGTTAAATTGTGCTTGTTGATTTATGTAGTTTTTAATAACTGTACGGGGTTTTCCTTAATCTGGTAAAAGTTGAATAGTCCAAAAGGATTCCTAACAGACGTGAAGCGAATTATCGCTATGTCTGAAAGTAATCACAAAGTTAAATAAAAGTTTAAACAAGCCTTTTTGTTTAAATAGAACTTATAACAACAATGCACGTACTTGTGCTAACAAAATCAACCACAGCTCGTGATGATGGAAATAAAGAAACAGACAGTTTCAGATTAAGACGTGAAATAGTAGTCAAAGACTGCATAGTTGAATCTCACGCAGTAATTCTAACCGGAGTACCAAACTCAAATTTCAGCAGCGATAACGCAAAACCGAATAATTACAACTTATCACACTTAACTTAGCGGACAGGAACAAAACGTTATTCCAATGAACCAGAAGTTCTCGTACAGGTCAGAAACACGTTCTGTCTTACAATGCAAAAACCTCAGTTTAAAT